GCTCCGATGGAGACATGGAAACGCTGCTGCTTTGCAGCTGCGTTACCCTGCTTCCTCGGGCTTGGACCCCTAATAAATTTGTCTGACAAAGCAGCAGCTCTCATTTACAGTCGTCTCGTTCGGCTCGGTATATTTCTCCTCTCAGTAGGGTTGTTTACAGCACACGCGATTTACGGTTAGCTTCTTAGCTTAGCCTCCTTCACACTGACAACACACACATGCTTCAGCAGAGGCCACGCCTCCTGCAAGAATCTCTTCTCTATGGCCGCAAGTCCAGACCCTTGTACGAAGCTAAGTGAAGGATAGGGTCTGATTTTAACCAGGCTAGTATAAACCTGGTGTTTAACATGATTGTTGAATGAAATTAACAGTTATTAATTTATTGTAAAAACACGACTGATAATCTGTGAAACAGATCCAGTTCAGTTTGCTGTTTATCTATTAGTTTCTGTGGAGGCTGTGAGCTGTTGCCCTTTTTGTACGCCATATTTGCTCCTCCATGCTACCAGTGGACAGTATGGGCGGGGCTTAGTCTAGTGATCTATATTCAAGTCTATATGGTTCTAATCTAGTTTTTGTTTTTATTATCAAACATCTCTGCCTTAGTCTGCTCCATCCAATGGCTTTTTACCATTTACCCTGTAGTCCAGTCTGACAGTCTTCCCAGATGGGCAGCAAATGCATTTTTAAGGTTAATTGATGTCTTTCCACCTTGTGTTGACACTCCTGCTTTTACAGAGGTGCTCACATCCATTACTTGATCTCTTCCATTTTTAGAACGTGGTCATTTTTATTACATCCTGAAATGTGTAAAGTTGATAATTGGTGGACTTCCACAGCTTCATGAGCGTTTCAAGTGTCATGTGCAAAAAGTTGGTTAAGGAATACACCTCTTATTGGTTTTGTATTATATAAATGCAGTGAATAAAAAGCAGAGTCAAGTTCCTTTTTCAAAACTCAATGTCTTTATTTCCATCACATGAGAGAAAACCACATCCTTAGATTTGACACCAGTTTAAAACACAGGATTGGACCAGAACACAGTAGCATTTTTAATTGTTGTTTTTTTTACTTGATTTATGGGTCTCTCTTTTTTTTAAATCCTTTTCAGAATGTGAGGAAGAAAAGAGGAGGAGGAGGATGAATCCTTCTTCTTCTTCTTTTGCTTTTTCTACCACTGGTTGCCATTGTTGGCAGGTGCTTTTTTCCCGAGATCCCCTGAACACACCACCACATCTTTAGCCTTTGGTGGAGCTAAAAGAAACAGAAACACAACAAAGATTTTAGTTCCAAACCCAAAAACGACAACCTCCTTCAGCTTATGTCTGTGTGTCATTTAATTAGTTTAGGTTTAGTTTTCTGTTACATTGTTTTGATTTCTGTGTGAGTTAGTCAGGTTGTGATTTCATGCAGTTGCAAGGCGACGGTGATTTAGTGCAGTTTAGTGACATGATTAGCAGTTAAGCAATGATTTCACGTTGGAAGCACACTTATTTGCATTCTTACTTTGAGTCGAAGAGATTGACCTAAAGCGTCGGGAGAATGCTCATAAGTGCGCTTCTAAAACTGATTTCTTGAACCAAAGGCGACAACAGGGGCAGCTTTCGTGTTCGGCTGCGATGTAAGGTTTAAAATTCACAACAACCATAGACAGATCAGCAGAGGTTTATAGTAATTAAGTACATTTACTTTGTTACAGTACTTAAGTAGTTTTTTTTTGAAGATTTGTAATTTTACCAACTATTTTTAATAGCTCCTTTTACTTTTACTTCATTACATTTTAAAGCTAAAAATTATACGTTTACTTCTTTACTTTAAAATGTAACACCTAGTTACTCGTTACAGTATTAAATATGTTGGAATTCATCATGAAAGATGTTTCTGCACTCTAAAAAAATGAAGTGTTGAATTTACTCAACAAAGTCATGTCAGCTGGCTCCACTAAGATTAGTTTAGTAAATTGTGCAAAGAATATACATATATTGATAAATTTACTCTCCCTGGCTTAGTGGAGCCAGTTTGGTTCAGTAAATTTAACAGTTTATTCTTAGAGAGTAAGTACTTTTACTTTTACTTTCCCAATTTTTGTGAAGGGTTTTCTCATCAGTGAAATTTATTTTTCTGTTCATGTAATTGTACTTTTACTTAGTTGTTTTTTTTTTTCCAAGTACTTCATAGACCCCTGCAGATCAGCAACCTCTTCAGGTTTTCTGCTTCCAGCCATCAGATCTAGTCTTTTTGTGAAAGAGTGACTTGTTTCTTTGTTTTGTTTCCTGTTGGAAAAGAGCCAATCGGGTTGTCARATCAAGCCGAAAGCATTTTGTTCAGTCATCAGCCCAAGTCTGCCTTGGTGTTTGGTTTTCAATTCTGTTTTTTTAATTAATTAATTTTTTTCAAGCCGGCTCTGCGACTTACCGCTCTGCAGCCCGTCCTCTAAATCAAACCTCGAGCTGTAAGGGAAGAAGAGCATATTTAACTGGTTTGCCCATTTTTCTGGATGGGTTTATGAGGGGGAGGAGCTCTTTATCATCATTTTCTTCAGATACCTAATGTGCAGATCTAAGCTACAGACATATACACAAATGTAAAAAAAACTACATTTTTAAGCTGCCTGGGTGTCCTCACCTCTCGTTCTCAGCAGCCATGGGCCCAATCAGCTTCCTGTACTGCTCGATTTCCTTCTCCAGCATCATCTTGACGGTCAGCAGCTCGTTGTTATCGTCCATCTGGATCTCCACCTGGGACCTCACCTCCCTCAGATTTGCCTCCAGCTTTGTGATGGCTCTGTAGAGCGGGRCCAGCCGCTGGTTGCTCTCCCATTTGGTTTTATTCAGCCTGTCTTCCAGGGTGCTGATCTGAAAGGAGAGCAGAACGTGACTGTGTTTTTGTGGGTTTGAGTGGAAAACAAGCTACATCTCTGACTTCAGGAAATGTTTTCGGTTTAAGGGAGCTCATCCAGCTGGCTCAGAGCTCTGATTTTAACCAGCACCTTTGCAGCTTAATGACAGCTCAGGTGTGTTATGACACCCGACATAAGTGCTTCATGTAGTTGCAAAGACTTGTGTGTTTGATTGTCTGCACCTACYGTGGTACGCTGATTCCGAATCGACTGCTCCAGAGTTTTCACCTCCTTCTCCAGATCCTTGTGCTCCCTGCTGACCTCATCCAAGGCCTCAGTGTTTTGGGCCTCCTCCTCCTTGATGTCCTCAAACTAGATGGAGACAAAGGCACGGCGGCCGTGAGATGGACGGACTTGTGGGAGAAATGCAGTTATATGGAACACGTACCTTGTTCTTGTACCAGTCCTCCGTCGCCTTCAGGTTCCTCTCTGACATTTTTTGATACTGAGCCCGGATGTCTCTGATGATGGCAGCCAGGTTGGATTTAGAGGAATCCACCTCCACCTGCACCTCAGAATCCCTGATCTGTTGGAGCAGATCGTCCACCTCCTGCACGAAGAAGAAAGAAGGAAAAACACATTTACAAGCTCGAATCAGAGGTTCTCAAATCCATAAAACACTGATTTCATCGCCTCACCTTCTTGTGCTCGTCCTTGAGGTGATAGAGCTCATCCTTCGCCAGCTTGATCTCCACCTGCAAGTTATTTTTTTCCAGCTTGATTTCACTGATTAAGTTCTTCACCTTGTCCAGGTCTTTCTCCAACACCTTCCTGGCCTTTTTCTCATCGTCCAGCCTGTAAACACCAGCTGTTTAAATTTCCACCACAAATGTTGCAGAGCTTTCAGACTGCAGGACACTCACTTGTTCTTGAAGTCCTCACTGGCCAGCCTGGTGTCGTCAATACGGAGCAGCTGCTTGGCATTTTCCAGGGTGAGGTCTTTGATCTGTAAGAATTAAGAATAAGTCATCAACAGCACCGATAGTGTCTTCAGAAAATAGGAAATCTGGAGACCAACCCGTTTCTCCAGATCCTCAAGGGGTTTCTGGGCTTTATCCCAGTCGCGTCCCTCAGGGCTCTTCCTTTTGGCCAAAATGYCGTTGATCTTATCCATCAGGTCGGCGTTTTCCTTATTCAGCTCCCCCACTTTGTTCAAGTAGGCGGACAAGCGGTCGTTCAAGCCGCGCAGGGTGCTCTTGTTGTCCCCCGAGGGGTCGACACGAGCCGGGGAGGTGGGTTCGCTCTGAGTCAGCGAATCAGATCTCCGGAACTCAGGAGTTCTGTCCGAGGTGTTGCGCTGCAWCATGTCGCGCAGCCCCTCCGGGGTGGACACGGTCCGGGACAAGGACGGCTTGGCGCCCCGTCCTCCGGCTCCACCRTACACCGTGGTGCTGCTGTTCAGAGGCATGCTTTCTGCAGGGTGGGAGGTCTGAAAACACACGCAAGTCTTTTAGGATAGGGATGAATCACCTGGATGTGGAAGGTGCAGGTGAGTTTTATATCGTTCCCCGTGCGTAACAGTCCGCCTCCACCTGACCTAACTCATCCACAATCCAATCCCCACTCGAGGACAAACTGGTTCAGAGCTGAAATTCAAGTATTTCATGTTATATTTCCAGCTAATTCTGCGCTTGTCTTGTTGTGATTGGACACGGGCGCAGGGTAGGGCAGGTCCGTGGGTCCGTGCGCCTTCATAAGGTGGACTGTGGGTGTCAGCTCACCTGCTCAGACAGACCTCACCTGCTCAGACAGACCTCCAGCTTTCATCTCAGCAGCTCATCATGTCTGCGACAGATTTCAGCAGCAAGACCTACAGCCCCGGCAGCGGGGATAAGCGCATCAGCCACCCTAAATCTGCCGAGAGGGACAGCATGGTTGGCCTGAACGACAAGTTTGTCCAGTTGATTGATAAGGTTTGTGAATTTAGTTATAGGCTAAATTACTATTTATAACTTTTTTCTATAATATGAAAAACGTTTTAAAAAGTTCTSTTCTGTCACTGTTTTATTCTCCCGTTTAGATTTTCTTGAATTTGAGTCAGAAAAATAATTCAAGCTATAAAAATTTGTCTAGTGAACCAATTTGTTTGCTTTATTTGAAAGTCAAAAGTGTAGAAATTGTTTTATTTTTAAAGGTTTTATGAACTTGTACAGTGAAGAGCAGCAGAAATTGTTTGTGTTATGTGAAAATTGTTCACATGCACTTCCCATTTAATGGGTTTTTGCAAATTATTACCCTCAGATTTTCTAAAATCTAGTCTATTGTGACTTTTTTTTAAAACCACTTGTTTAATATACAAAACACATTTCATAAGGAAAAATTAGTCTGCATGTAATTCTTTAGTTTTACCTGTCAAAAATGTTATTTTCTATAATTTTTTGTTTCCTTTGTAGGCTATTCCTTTAGATTTTACATGTATCTAAATCTTTCACATGTATTCCTGTAGGTCTCACATGTATTGCTATAGGTTTCACATGTATTCCAATAAGTTTCACATGTATTCCTATAGGTTTCACATGTATTCCTATATGTTTCACATGTATTCCAATAAGTTTCACATGTATTCCTATAGGTTTCACATGTATTCCTATAGGTTTCACATGTATTCCTATAGGTCTCACATGTATTCCTATGGGTTTCACGTGTATTCCAATAAGTTTCACATGTATTCCCATAGGTTTCACATGTATTCCTATAGGTCTCACATGTATTCTAATAAGTTTCACATGTATTCCTATAGGTTTCACATGTATTCCTATAGGTTTCACATGCATTCCTACAGGTCTCACATGTATTCCAATAAGTTTCACATGTATTCCTGTAGGTTTCACATGTATTCCTATAGGTTTCATGTGTATTCCAATAAGTTTCACATGTATTCCTATAGGTTTCACATGTATTCCTGTAGGTTTCACATGTATTCCTATAGGTTTCACATGTAGTCCTATAGGTCTCACATGTATTCCTATAGGTTTCACATGTATTCCTATAGGTCTCACATGTATTCCTATAGGTCTCGCATGTATTCCTATAGGTCTCACATGTATTCCTATAGGTTTCACATGTATTCCTATAGGTCTCACATGTATTCCTATAGATCTCGCATGGAAATTTATGCAAGTTTGACATATTTCGTAATTTGAAAATCCATCACATGTAGAAATATTTGTAACACATTTAACATAAAATCATAGGTTTAAAATGAGAATTGAATTTTCACATTATTGTCATGATTCATTTTGAATATTTTTTTAATGTGCACTTTTCAACACAAGTCATTTCATTGATTTTAACATGATCCTGTTTCCAACAGGTTTTAAAAGTTTTCYGAACTTGTTTCCCAATTGTTGCACATTATATCTTATTATAACATGTTTTCACATGTGACCATGTATTATTTTTTCACACGTCACACTGACAGTTCCAAACTGGTTAAAATTAATTAATCATTTAACCTTAATTGCTAACTAAAACCTTCAAAATGTATAGGTAGGTAGGTGTTTGAAAATATTAAATGAAAATAGATGAATCCGTTTGTGAAAAAATTTTCTACTTAATTAGCTGTGAATTTCTTAACATTTATCTAACAGAAGAATAATAAAATCTGACCTTCAAATAAAACAACTGTAAAACCAGTTCACTGAGCATGATTCAGGTCTGTCATCACTGCTTTATAATGACAGAGTAACTCTAGTACCTGAGGCCACAAAAAGTGACTTCATCTGATTTTCTACAGTGCTGCAGGTGTAGTTAGGGTGCCACCTTGTGGGGAAAAAAAAACAGTCCTCAATGAGCATTGAGGRTATTCATCGCTCCTTTTAGTTTCATTTTGTGCATTTTTTCCAGACATTTACGCAAAGCTGCCATTATCAATAGAGACAGCACAGAAAAATGCCACGTTTTCCTCGCCGACTCTCTGTTCAGTACCCTTTTCTGTTTTAAAGGTAAAAGACCTGGAGGATGAGAAGAAAAAGCTGGAGAAAAAACTGGAATTACTCAAGAAGCAGGACGACTATGCTGCTAAAATTKATGAAATTTTGAGGCTGAAGGAGAACGAGCTGGAGGAGAAAAYTGACCAGTTACTCCGGGACAAGGACAAACTGAAGGATTACCTGGACAAGATGCAGAAGGAGAMGGATGACAACAAGAAGAGGTTGGCAGGTTATAGTGGGGCTCAACGCTTTGAGTACTTTTCTTGATTATAATTAACCCTTTACTTTTTGTAGGTATGAGGATGAGATCGATAAGAAAGCTGAAAAGGAGAAGGATTTTATTCTTTCCAAAAAGGTAACTTAATTCTGAGCAGGAACTTGATTTTTGTATGTTATGTTAAATACTAATGCCTAAATGCTGAATGTGCAACAGGATGCAGATGAAGAACATTTGCTGTTAGTGGCAGAAGCTCTGGATCTGGAGGATCTGAACAGAGAGCTGGATCGCCTTAACCCATTATTTGACGAGGTAATGAAAACCAATATTTAGATCCTAAAAGKTTTATATACGTGAAAATTTTACAACCATATTTTCCACGTGTCAACCACTCACAGGAGATCAAGGAGCTGAAGTCCCTGATCAGGAATGAGAAAGTGACCCTTCGTGAAGACAACAAGCGCCACCTGGACATGGAGGACATTGTCAAAGCTGTGGAGAAACAATATGCTGACTTGGCTGACCGTGCCAGGAAGGAGGCAGAGAATTGGAACCAGAAAAAGGTGCAGCAAAAAAAAAAAAAAAAGGTCTTTTTCATATCAGGTACAAGTGAACGTAATAACCGAGTTCCGTCTGCCACCATCAGATGGACGACATGGTCTCCAGTGTCTCACAGGTGGAGCAAAAACTGCGTGRTGTAAAGAGGGAGATCTCTGACCTGAAGCGCCTCATTCAGAGGCTGAAAGGAGACCTGGAGGGTCTGAGAAGGAAGGTTCGGATCACATGACAAACATGACAAATTCCTTCATTTTCACACACCCTGTCCACGCAACAAGCTGCTGATCTCCTTTCTCTCTTTTTCCTGCTAGGAAGACGCAGTGAAGAAGGACATCGAGGACGAAAGACAAGACTGCGATGAAAAATTGGAGAAGGCCCAAAAAGACGTCAAGCAGATAGAGGACGCCATAAACAGGAACAAGCAAGACTTGGCCCAACAAGTGAAGAATCACCAAGAGCTGCTGAACCTCAAACTGAGCCTCGACATTGAGATCGCCACCTACYGTAAGCTGCTGGAGGGCGAGGAGATAAGGTACATTAGGGTCGAGCTTACACAAGAATGAATGAGATACGCCTTTAACAATACTGACTCTGACATTTGTTTCTCCTGTCTTCATGAAGAATGAATTATCTCCATTTCAACACAGGTGAGAAGCCTTTGAATACCTATCCTGCTTTGGGAAACTGAAAATCTTATGTTTTAGTGTTGCAATTACCCACTAAAAGTTAGCAAAAAAATAAAAATGGCGCAGCTTTAAACCAGCAAGGGTAATTATTTTAGTAACTTTTTATTCAGCTATCTCTTTAACCTTTCTGGAGACATTAAGACTTAAGCCTTTTTCATTACTCTGGAGGGTTTTTTTACATCCACATTCTAATGAAAATGCTGTAATACCGTGCTGCACTGCTAGGTGGCATCCATGTTAACATATATTAGAAAGAGGTAAAAAAACTTGCCTAATAATTTTTCTTTGATGTTGTTTAAATTTCATGGAGACAAATAAAAAAAGTGATAAATAGAAAACCAGTAAAAACGGCTCCATTGTTGTTTGGGTTTCTAAAAAGTTGTATATTGTCTGTTTACACTAATAAACAAAAAAGGAGAGTTTTTCAGATTTCAGCTTTGAAAAGCATTTTATAAATGATCCTTTTTTAAAACAAATACTCAGTTTGTGTGTGGAACAGAGAAGCAAACACAGAAAATCCTCTATTTTAAAAAATATCTGGAGTAAAACTGAAGGCTTTACTGGAGAATACTGGAGAATAATCTGGAGGCTTTAATCTTAAAATCCAGTTTTATAAATAAATGTAATAGTAAACTACGACAACAACAAAGCCCAAAACATTAAAATTGGTTATTAAAAGTAGAAAATGACAGCTTTCTTTGGCATACGGATCCCCCAAGGGGACATCAGGATTTTTTTTATTTTTTGTTACCTCGCAGTACTTTTTTACGTTCCTACACAAAAGCTTTGTGATACTTCACAAAAGTTGTTTATTATTATTAATTAATTCACGTAAAGATATCTAACCCTACGCAGCCATCCAATGTCATTGTCAACTTCCGTAACCTGTGGTGGTACATCATGTTTTGGAAACCAAATACTTCAAAGTAAAAGTCTCATTCAACACAGTAAATACAAAACATTACAGTTATTTCTAGAATGCAAAACTTTTGTGTGGGAATGCAAAGGAAAACAACATCTCCCAATGTCTTCTTGGGGACTCCATACCATGATCAATGTACAAACCAGTCAAAATTAAAAATAAATAAATAAGTATGTGTATA